GATCTGTCACCTAATGAAAATATTCTTTCCACTTCACAAATGTCAAACATTCATTATTTGCTGTATACAAAGCCCGCATAAATCCTCTACATGTGCAAGTCGCCGTGTAATTCCTCAGCTCGGCCACGACTGTGCCTACTTTGCACCTAGTCCCATGGTATATTTAACCAGTACTGATGGCTGCACTATTGCGTGTACCGAATAAGTCAATGAAACACGATTGGAGCCCCACTGACCACATGACTTGGATATATCCAGGTCTTGCATGAAACAAAATGCGAGTACAAAGGGCATGTTCTGGGCCGTGTTTTGGCGACCCCTAACCAGGAACAAGTTTGTGATGTCAAAACGTATAAATAATTTACTTATATCGAGGGGCGACAAAAATTGTCCGTTTATTTTCCGCCATTTTGAACCGGTGCTGAATCAATTCCAACCTTCGGTTCTCACTCGGTCGGAACAGGAAGAGGCATGACCAAATCGCGACGCTTTACCAGTGACACCAGAGCTGAAACCAGTTCATGGCTGGGGTCGCCAAACCACGCCCCTGGGCGTCCAAATCTTCTGTTTTTCTTGATTTTTCAAATTCATTCATAATAATGTACTGGTTTTGACAAATACAATTCAGTTCGTCCCAAACTGGGCCCCTCAAAAGAGAAAAAATCCTAACTTATTCCACTGCCAGTGTTTTTTTCCCCAAAATTAAAGCATCACAGTCGAGAGGCTCAAGGTCATGTTCAATTTGGAGCCCACCTAGATCTCTATCGGACCCATTCCCACGCCACCGCAACTTCAATGTCAAATAAATTCATCGTCCACCCTTCCCATAAACTACAACTGATGCTAAATTGCAGAAAAAGCACCATCTGATTCCTCTATCGCCCCAAACTTAGACTCTACCTGTGCTAGCTCACACTGTCTTTGTCTGTTGCCTCGTCTGCTGCTAAATCAACCTTGTCTGGGTTCTTGGCACCATGTGAACTTCCACCTTTGACCTCTGCCGACTCCTTCACGGCAGCCACTTTCCTCTGGGGCAAGACCTTCAAGAACGCCTCCTTCCAGTCCTTGGTTTTGATGAAGGCAAGTAGTATCTCGTAGACTGTTGGTGATCGCGTGAAAAGAAGGAAAATGCAATGAAAAGTGAGAACTGGACCAAATAAAAGTCAACCAAAAAGTTGAGAAAGCAAGTAAGAATTGGAGCTTTACACTTCCTGTCTTTAGTGGAAAACTGAAAATGTTCCATTGTCAAGTGGGTCATTCTACAAATTTGGGGTCCGATGCGTGACATGTTTTTCAGTTTCACCTGACCTGTGTAATTTGCAGTACTTAATGACTCTTGGAAATCAAGGACTGTGTTCTGAAATGAACAAGTCATATTTCAGATCTACCAGGGACAGGACAAAATGGGCCTCCAAATTTTAGAATGGCCCAATTGCTGATCTACACTCTGGACTGTCTTCGCTTTGAGGTCAATGCACCCTCCGCTTGCTGATCTACTTAGCCCGGTCGCTGCGCCGCTCGCGCGTAATTTGGCCCGGGCCTGGATCCATTTGGGTGGAAATGTAGTTAGGCCAAAAACAAGGGACGCTGAAAGGAATGGTATGCCCGGAAATGGATAATTCTTGTTCTTCTACCTACCTCTAGCTGGTTTACTTGCCTCCGCTCATTTCCTCAGCAAGTGAGGTACCAGAATGAGCACTAATACGAAACACAACTGGCAAGGAGGGGGCATGATAATCCATCGCGCATCCCCTCGTCCTGCCGAGCTACCGTTACAAACTTAAATACAGGTACAGTATGGGTCCATGTACTCACGAGTTGTTTTGCTAGTACCGAGTCTGAACCCTTGCACAATCCAAGTTGCAGCTCTCTGTACGGCCCCAGTTATCTGCACACTAAGTAAAATACTTTGAGCAGCCAACTCGACGTGAACTCCCCGGCAGCTCTGCTCAGACTAATTTTTCCCAACACTCTACCATTTACCCCCACCCGGTCCTGATTTCACAGTCCTGAAGAAACACCATCTTAGCTCAAAATAATGGTCCACTATAACCAGTTACTCCTTCCTTTCACTTAGTAGTTTTTGCATTCCTTCAGACGCCGTCCAAATCCCCCCCTCCCCATTCTCAACCATGGAGATCTTATTAGTCCGGTTCCCCAATATCCACAACACAATTTCCTCATTGAAAACATGCAGTCAAATCCCCCGACAGTTACGCCAATACTCCTTGGTTCCATATCCCCGGCTGGACACACTTGACGTCCCCTGGTTTCCCAAACCCCGGAACCTACCCCCATCATGCATCAGGCATCCCTACTGTCATTCCTCAGGAGATTAAAAGATCACCAGACATACGCGTTAACACTATCATACATGTGCAAACACGTTTTCCTCCCAGCTCTAAAACTGCAACTGCTTCTCACTGTCTCCTCTCTACAGGTTTCTTCAGGCTTGCGAGCTACAGTGCCTAGGGTGCTTTTGAGGAATCCTTGGTGTCATTACCAGAAATGCTTTATAATAATAATAATAATGATTACCGAAAATGGGTCATTAGAGATACATTCCCATAAGAATGTGCACAAAATTTTTCCAACTGTCCCCTAATTCAATATTCCCTATTCCAATCTTAACCAAACTTTGCATGTTTTCATTTTAGACCCTAATCTATCATCTCTCAAAATTTGGACTGTAAAATTCGGCCTCCTGATTTGGACGGTAAAATTCGGCCTCCTCCTGGTAGTTGGAGCATTAGGGAGACATTGAAATGTCTGAAATGTCATTGAAATGACATTGAAATGTCTCTCTGATAACCAATGTCTCCCTAAGGTTGAAAAATTTACCACAGAGTGTCTCCCAAATGACCTATTTGTGATAATACTGTGCAGCCCTATTCACATTTAAAATGCAAGTGAGAGCGTTCAGAAATTGACCACGCTGCCACCAAATTCAACACAAGGCCATGTCTCTCCCCTGAGGAAGTCACCTCGAGGATACATACACCTGCCACGGCCTCTAGGAGGCACCACCGCACAACCCCAAACTGAAAAACGACGCCTTATTTCAAAGGCACCTCCGCTTCATTCTGGCACTTACCGTGATTTATGGCGAGCACTTTTCGGTCTCTGAGCATTATGTAGTCGCTGATGGGCAGCTGGGCATGTGACCAGCCATTTTCCTGAGCAAGTGCAAAGCAGTGGCCCTGACGACAGGGAAAGAGATTGACTTTGTCTGAAACTGGCTTCCCCACCAATGCTTAAACTCTTTCACATAACGTCGTTTGATTACAACTGCTACATCTCACATTATGCATAGAATACACAGCACCGGGCAAGTTGGGTGGTAACTACTTTGACAGCCCGTCACCTGCTTTTTAACAATGCGTATGCACAAAGCAGTCACACTCAACGGCCAAAGTTTAACCTAATTCAAAATCATTTTGCTGTTAGCTGCAATATTTACTGCATATGTGGTCAGTGACACCCCCAACATTTACAGTACCTTCATGTGAACAGCTCCCTCTGTATTCGAAAATAATATTGGCTATTGACTGCCGCTGGTGCAACAGTGTGACCAAGCCCCAGGGCCCAGTTCCCAATGATTCTAGACGGTCCACACTCTCCCTCTTGAGGGCGGTGTTGGTCAAACTACAGGTTAACTTTACTCCTCACTCAAACTTGCTCATATGAGCACCATTCTAGACCATTTGCGAGCAATGAGAAGTGATGCTTGATTCTTCTCTCCTTTCCTGACTGCAAGTATTTTAACCCTAACCCTCCACAGTCCTCCAACAGGTGAAGGATTGAGGAGGGTTAGGGTTAAGGAACTTAATATTCAAATACTTCCAAGCGTGTACATGTATATCTTAATTTTTTCCAAAACCTTCACAGCCTTGGCTCTTTCTCGGGCCATTACTTCGTGTTGAATGAGATTACTTCCGAAAATCCACAAAAGTCCACACCCTCATTTCTTAAGAAATCTTGGGTAGCAATTTGCAAAAATAACATAAACCTCAGTGACCTGAATTCAAACAACACCAGGGTTTCTTATGCTGTAGGTAACGCCCCATGTGATTTCAAAGAACCCTACAAGAGCCGATTTCAAAGAAACTTGCTTAGCAGGTAGGAAACTGCCTGCAAGCATCATGTGACACTGTGGATGGAAAGCAGGCTCTGCTATAGGTATGCTCTATGCTTACCGAGTCCCTGAGCTAAGCAGCACCAACATACATGTAAATTAGCTCTAATGTGATAGACAGATAAAGCCGACGGTCAGTACAGCACGCTGACTACTGCCGTGCTAAGTACTGTACCGAAAATAGACTTTACCTTTCGTGACCAGCACTTAAACTTTGCTATGGGAGGACACCATGTCTGTTGATGTTTGATACCAACTATAGGTCATGTGACTTAGCGGGGCGTAATCCGTTTATTGTGTCCATGTTGCATCATGAAGTCCTGATACCTTGTAGTGATTGTGGTCGACCAGACCGCCAATGACGTACACCTTGTCTGTCTGCAGTTCTGTCAGCAGATTGGGTGACTCCGACGTCAGGTACACGATGTTGTCCCTGCCGAATGCTGCCTCAGGTCCATCCGTCTTCCAGTGAACCTGCGCAATTACAAGAGTAGAATTGCCGACCTGGTTTTTGTTTGTTTTTTCTTTTCTATTTTTTTGGGGGGGGGGACAAACTACAGTTGGGGACTAACTCAGTCATGGACTCTTTCGAAGGAGATGCATTACACAATGTAGAAAAATGTGCCCTTTGCAATGATTAAGCTCTAGGGCATGGACCTCGTGTCCATGAGCAAGAGGTTTTACCAAGTTTGCTTCTGACACTGCTTTAAAAACATTATAGTTAATTACAAAGCAACGGTGGCTAAGTACTTGTGTAGCATACATGGATAAAGGTTGGCTAATCCAACCTGTGATGCCTGAATCCAATACTGTTATTTATTTATGTCTGCTCGTCCAACAGCGCATTTTGTGCCAATTACAGGAAAAAGTGATAATTAAGGAGACAATGAAGAAATATTCACCTCTAGACGTTGGGAGTTAAACCTTGGATAAATATTCCAGGGAAAACCAATGGAATCAGGCAGGGACTGAAAACCCTATCCACGTGCTGACCTAGGTGGGATTCGAACCCAGGTCACAGAGGTGGAAGGCGAGGGAAGAGCCACTACACCAACCTGACTCCCTGCTATTATTTGGAGACTGAGGTGATGATGGCCATCGTTTACTTACATCCCAGCTTTTGTAGCCAGTGATGACCTGATCGCTGATCTGCTGGAATCGCCCCACCAAGCCGCAGATGTACAGCTGCAGCGGCTTGTTGGTGAGGCTGCGATTCTCGGCGTAGCATCGCTGCACCTGCTTACACAGCTTCTTGATCTCCTGCCCGACGAGACAGAGTAACCCAGTTCAGGCCACACACAGTTTAACTCTGCACAGTTGCTCTGTTAGCACCGTTACTCTACTGATTGATGGCCACTTGTTCCAGACATGATGTCTGAATGGATTTATATCAATGGTCAAGGTAATTGCCTAAATCACGCCAACTGCTGTGATGATATGTAAAATTAAACTCCGACTGCAATAAAATAATTTTGGGTGGAAACCCTCCTTAACCACTTGATACCGGGTGCCTTTGGAAATACAGTGTCTAATACCGGACGATTTTTCGATATCTTTGGTTGTCAAAAATCTTCAAAAATTCATGTCTTTTTTTCCCTGAATGCCCAAACCCCATCGAGTGACTGTCTGGAGGCTACTCTAATCTGACAGACAACATCTGTTGACACCTGAGTATTTCAGCCAGGCCTGCCGACTTGTAAAGAGAGCCCTGATTGTGCAGTGTTATGTAATTATGTTTTGTTCCCAAAACTGGCACAGTGCGCTGATGGTGTCTTTTCAATAGGGGCCAGATTAGCGTGCAGCGGTATTGTATGGCTCGTCAGTGTGAGCCATGGAGTACATTTTTTTCCCGGTGGCAATGTTGGATCTTGTGGTAGCTGGCGGTCACAGATTCCCAGGCCACTGGATGTTGTCACAGGCAAGCCATTTTCACAATTTGATGCAGACTGATACATGTACATGCATGTCTGGCATGGTTTGGTGCCAAAAAACTCCCGAGAGTTAGGGTTACAGTATGTGGTGGTCTACACCTTACTTAATCCCACAAAAACTTCCAAAATCATACAAAGCCTGGTTCAAGGGATCTACGACGGTAAATCAGGACTCTGCTTTTTCTCTAGCAACACCCACCAAGTCATTCATGAGGTGGTCATAGGTGCAGTCAATGGCTACCCGGATTTCGCTAGCCTCTGGGTCGTTCATCCGTCGTCTCTTGATGCGGACTTGCCCATCATCCAGGGCCTCCGGCATTCCTTCTCGCTCCTGGATCTTCTTCAGCTTTCTCTTCTCCCGTTCCTTCAGCCTGAAGGAATGAAGCAGGTAAGGCTTGGAGATGAGCCTGTTGCATGTGGCTCGAGTTACAAACAGAACCCTTTAGACCTCGTCCGCTATTGAACGAGAAATCCCATTTCTATTTGTTTTGTTTTTTTCTCAGCAGGAATCGTCGACTCTGCTCATACCTCTTGGCCGTTCTCCTCTCTCTCCATTCGGCGTTCTTCATCATCTTCTTCATCTGGTTCTTCGACACAGGGACAGTCCCAGAGGTTGTGGAAACCTCTTCCTGTGTCCCATCTCTCTCATCTTGATTGGCTGACATTGCAGCGTCAGCGACATCTGATTTGATCCCTTTGGTATCATCCATAAAGCTTTGTTCTAATCTAAAAAAAAACCAAACCATCCTGTGTCATTTACCAAATACGTGTGCTCTGCTCCCAATCTACACATTTACAAATGACAAAGTGTTGGCCCATTACGTGTTGGAAACACAGCACTTGTCTGATCTCATCTTCATTTCCGGACTTGACTGCAGAAAAACCCTGCCAAAAACAAATCAGATTGAAGGAGTTTTGGGAGGGTTTGATGTCTTTAATCTGGTTGGTTTCCCCTGAGTTGTTTTTCTACACATGGATATTTATTCTCAACCACTTGCAGGTGGTAAATTTGGCCAAAAATTCTGACTTTCAAAAAGGGACAAAATACAGACCCGACTGAAACTTTTTCAGTGCAGTGTGGGAGACATTCATAGTGCATAACCAGTGAAATTTCAAGCATATTTGATGCAAAGGTTAAGAGTTTAGTAAATTCAGATTTTCTCCGTACACAACAACACTATTTTTGCCCCTTTGAGTACCAAGTGTGAAATGTGGAACAGCCACTAACTGACCAATCAGAAAAAAGAACCAACACTCAGTGATGTCATCCTGTGAGAATATATAGGCCTACACAAGAATTAATTGCTGAGGAAATGGATATAGATACATGTAATTGCAAACTTGTCTAAAATCGAGTAGGCCTAGCCTTGTTGGAAAAACTTCCATAGTTATTGGCTACTTTTTCAGGAGTACATGTATACTGTATTTGTTTATAGACTAATGTAAAAACATTTACCTGAACATATCATTTGAAATTGTAAGGGTGTTGAACGTGCTGTGTTTGGAGATAAATTTGGGAGGATTTTGAGCACCATACAACTAACTACGACCTTCGTACAGGTGATTGCCATCATGAGAAAAATGGTACAGGGAAAACCGTTTTGCGTTTTTCCTGTGAAACGAGAAGAGGCCCCTTCTTTTAAACCTGTCCCCCTAAGTGACTAAACCGCCTTTCACATTTCTATTCCCCAAAATACTGTGGCCCCCTTCTAAAATTTTGTTGGGGTTCAAAATTATGACAGAAAGTGACCAACCATGCCAACAGTGAGTAGGGATTTTTTCTCTTTGTTTTACTTTTAAACACTTTTTGGTGCACACATCAAAGCAATATTGAAGTGCAATGCCTTGGAATTCAGAGGAATATTTCATGAATATGAAACAAAATAAAACATAAAATTTCCAAACAAGCTCCAAACATGCCAAAATAAAGATTAAAACAAAACTAACCAATTTCAAAATAAGGTTAACTGACACAAGTACTATCATACACAAACATAGGTCTCTATCTCAGCACGTGTAAGAAAAGATGGAGGAATAATTTCCTTTTTATTCCTCCATGTAAGGGGCCATTCGAAATTTCCGACGTTGTTTAATTTTGATTTTTCGAACTAGTGGGTCGATGGGTCAAAGTAAATTTTTGAAAATCAAAAGTCACTTTTTATTAAAAAACAATAAATCGATCTTTTGACTCCGATGAATTATGCACACCATCTCAGCGTTCCGTGTTATCTGTTTCAACCTCATTCCGAGTTACTGATAGAACGACCTGTGTATCATGTACAGTGTGAAACTCCATCAGTGAAGGTGGTTTTTGGCTGAATCCGTACCATCCAAAGAACAAAAAATACAGAACTATTTTCTCAAGTTAGTTCACAAAATGATATTGCTCTTTATGCATTGGTAATTTTCAATTTCATAGACTTATGTCAAGGTCTCAAAGCATGTAGATGTCTTATCTGTGGCTCAGTGAAACCCGATTTTCTGTTTGTCTCTGGGCATGCTCTTGAACGGAGCGATGGCCGGCCCATTTCAGTCAATGCGCTGCTGCATGAGATCACGTAAATATGTTGGTGTTTTTTATCTGGGACGTGATATTTGGCCTTGAAAGCACTGTAATCAAGTGTTCTTGATTACAGGTTCAGGAACAGGTTTAGAAAAAGTCACAGGTGCGGAAAAAACAGCTTTTATCAAGAAGAGCATTACTTAAATATGGGAGCACTGTAACACGAATTCATACATCTGGTTGCGACACGGCATTCAACATGGCCACTACTAAACTATGCAAGCTACATCAACTGTTATTCGCGGACGCGACCTTACGTGACCTCAGGTCAGTGCGAGGTGAAAACAAATGCATTTACATTTCTTTGCATGGCAAAAAATGCCAAAAGTGCATTCACCTTGGGTTGTTTTCGTCGCTCTGGCCAGATGCATGCTGCCACAAGTCGCGTAGGCCTAAGCGCAAAGTGGATACAACACAGAATAAACAAATGAAATTGGGGGTGGGTGGGTGGATCAAAACATTTTCAACGAAAAATCGAAATTTAAAAACATCTAATTCTAAAGTTTTAAATGGCCCCTAACAATAGTGAACACAAAGGCCAAAACAAAAACCATGAAAACTTAACCATGTAACACTAACAGCATGGAGGAAGGAACAGCGAGCAGGTAACGTTATGAAAATGGCAAGCCAAGGTAAGGTCTAGCTCCTGACTCGACTGGGAGGGAGTCTGGTAGACTGGCCCAAAGTCTGGGCCTAGCCAAGGTCTAATGAGCTTTTTTGTCAGTTCAAAATTGCAACCAGCTACAACAGCACTCACCTGTTTCGCTTTTATCGATTGGTTTCCAATATCTTTTTTCCCCAGTGTGTTTTATCGCATGCAGTGTCCTGCGAATAAAAATGAACCCTCTAAGAGTCTTGAGAAAAATAGCAGACCAGGTTTCACGGGTTAGTATCTAGTCACTTCCGAAGCATTGCAGGTGTCTCACGAGTCAAATGCAGACATGTGGTGTAATTGCATGGCGCCCTCTGCTGGCTAGTTTAATAAAACTCAGATTTTGAACTACGTGCACTTCTCATTGGGGGCGTTTACTAGAGGTAGTCTGCAGCAAAGTGGCAACCCGATTCCTCACACCACATGCACATTACAGTTCTATTTTGACTTGAAGAGTCACTTTGAAATAACCTGAAATTGCACAAATTGTATATTCTTCCAGCCCAAAGAAAGGACTTATGCCAAAAAATGCTTTCTTTTTGCAGAAAATTCATTTCGTAGGGATTTGAAGGAAAAGCCAAATTTCAGGCAAACCTTGAATTTGATATTGAGCTAAAAATGACAAACTCCGAATGGAAACTTTGGAACAGCAACAAAATTTTGTGAAATCGGGAAAAAGGGTAAAAAAAAGTGGCCTGATCGCAGACACTACAGTATGGAAATACCAAACAGAAGCCACAAAAAAGCCTCAGGTATCATCCAATCATGAACAACAAACTTTATTACTCCCGTACACTAGTTCGGTATTTCGACAAGGCAACGTCATTCAGGATTAAACAAAACCCACCGATGCCATGTCGAATCAAAGGTGTCGAGACTCTGCTAGACAGTGTACTGATATCCCAACTGAACGACATGTTTCATTTTGTGCATGCACAAGTTGGTTCATTGCAAACAGTGAAGACAATATATCAAACTTAAAAATTCAACTTTTTTTTTCTGACAGAGCAGAGAATATCAACACATAGGCCTACAGCAACATACCCATCAAAAAAAGGCCCTTTGCACAACAGTTACAACCTTCATGGCACCATAATTGATTATACATACACTGGCTAGTAGCAAACTAGCACATAACATTTATCAGCAACATGAGAAAATAAGCCTTTTGCGAGTTAACTTCGACCAAAATCAGGTACACTGAGTTCTTTAAATTCGTGTGAATGTAACAACTTGAATTCTCCATACTAAAACCACTGTTGCTATACCTTGTGATTCGGGGCAAGCTTTTGCTTAGTTACATAAGAGACGCCTTGCAACAATACACTATTCTCAATGGTTAAGAAGGGCACAAAGGAACCAGTCCATTCCAGAGATGGTGGTCCCTATGCGAAAGCTTGCCCCGAATCACGAGGTACGGCAACAGTGTCTTTAGTCAAGGGAATTCAAATCATTTCATTAAAGTGCAATCGGGCAACGCAGTGTACATTACCAGATCTTATTCAAATTTAACTTGCAAATGGCTTATTTCCATCTTCCCCCGAGTACTAAAGCTTCACAATCATAACTTATACTCAAGTGGCCATACACTGCCCAATTCTTGTAGGCTAATATTGCTATCATTTAATTCAAAAACTGCATTGAAGGCTCTTTTATGTAATAATTTATAGAAAATAAATCCACTAGATTTTCAATAGTCCTTTGAATATCAAAGGAGGCATATAAAGTAGCGACTTTTTATATTATTTTAGGCAATTTAAGCACGCCTCTTCTGCACCACAGCAAAAGATGCCAGAGATTGACCGTACACACTTCCATAACTTTTAAAATTCTCAGTCTTTCTTAATTTGTCTAAATTTCACTCCCTCTCATGGTGACTAAGGCAAAAGCATGTCACCACATTGAAGTCTCATGCAGACTTCTCAACCTAGATGACGTCTGGAGGCACAGGAATGTCAACCCATGCAACAGCACCTTACTTTTTAGCATTTCATGTGCTCCACACAGAACCCACTCTCTCTCTGCTCGCACACTGGCAAGAAACTGAAGCCTCGGACAGACACCGCCGTCAAAATCAGATTCGGCTTCCCTTTCAACACTTTCATGCGTGACGGTGATTATTTAAAAAGTGGCCCCAAGTGACTTGGACAAATCTTGCCTATCTTGCGAATCTGACTCTTCAAATGACATCTCACTCGAGACGAGTTTCACCTCATCATCTCCGATTTCTTTTTTTTTTCCCCGCTAACAATCATCAGCGGGAACAACTTCACCACTTTTCTTTACATCGGTGAAGTCATCATTCTTATCCCCCTCTCCGTTCACTAGATTAGCTTCTGGATAGCTGTACTTGCTCCTGTGAACAATAAGTATGACTTCACTCTTTGGAGCAAGTGTTTAAAACAAAACATTGAAATATCACACTTTGCCGGTATTTATTTCTCATCATTACAGTCTTCAAAGTTACTTACAATTTTGTCAAGTTCCTGACATCAACAGTGACTTCATTCTGCTCCACACCCCTGTGACAGACTATAGGGTACTTAACATGAATAATAAATACAAACGCTTAGCTAAATTAAAGTCAGTTGCTTACGTGCAACTAAAAAATGTTTACCGGCCTTAGGTACTGATGATAGTTATACACTTTATGCTTGCAGTGAAGTCGAAGCATTGGAAATCGGTTCCAGCAAAACAAAACTTGCATACGGTGGAACAGAAACATGGTAAAGAATTGAGCGAAATGCTTCTTGTATTCACTTTTTGCACCTAAAAACAGATTGCATCTGCAGGTATGATTCCTACACACTTAGATATTCTTTTCTTATCTACACAAAGCTGCTACGAATGACAGCTTTCAATATTATCGATCCAATGTGGATCACATCTTTGAAAATAAATCAAGTGTATTTATCTACAGAGTGTCAATGAAAGGAACGGGTACAAGAATGTATAGATGCAGATGCCTATTACGTCAGAATAAAATATGCCGCTGCAATCTTGAAACCTTGATCGGTTTTAAATGAAGCCAAAGGAGAGGTCAACACATTTAAGAAATGTAGTACACTGCCCAAACTTGACATTAATTTTTGTCTTGTTTTCGAAGAGATACCTAAGGCCATGCAATAGCATGCTTTCGCTTCAGCGTAATGGAACTTCAGTTGATTACAGTATATCATTTTAATGCTTCAAAGCACGAATTTAATTTTCCACTCTAGTGGCAGTTATCTTTTGCTCAACAAAGTGACTAGTTTGCAAAACATGTAGAAATGTAGTACAAAGTCATGCACTTCACAAGAAATGGGTATATTAATACATGCACATGAAGTAGAATTCAAATTTGCATAGGCTGTAATAAACGGCCCCATTCTCCGCCATTTTGTATTATTCCCAGACAAGCACTTCCCCTGTATGTTCTGAGAGACCAACTTAAGTTTTTAGCGCACCCGTTGTTAGTTTGGTTTTTTTTTTTACTGCATCACAAACTAACCTGTGTGAGTCAAGCGGACACTGCCGCCCAGTCCACAGAATTTAATAAATGAAGGCGTTTGACCATTTCGGTGCCTTTTTTCCCTAGAACTACAGCACTCCTTGGGTGCTCTTTGAATTTTGACAGCTCTCGGTTAGCACCTACTGGATGCTACGATTCATGAATGCCCATGAGGGTCCAAAACTTGTTCTACATAAAAAAAATTAACATAAAACACAATATAGGAAATCACAATCTAAACCGAAGGTGCAAATCAGCACCAATGTACGCGTACGATCCGACCGTCTAAGCGAATTATAAAACGGGAATCAACATAAACAAAGTAAAATTCAATTTAATTTGACTCGATCTTCTGTCTCTTCTTGGGTCTGTCAGTGAGCTTGGTGTCCGCATCCCTCAGGTCCACGTCTTTGGTCGCCCGGGTAGGGGAGAGGTCCAGGCCAGAGTCATCGGACGCACTGCTGGGACTACTAGCGCTGCTGGACTCCCCCAGGAGCACGTCACCCACGTCCAGGACGGGCACAATGTCCAGGGGCTTGGGGGCCAAACGGTGGATGGCCTGCCCTGGAAACCTCCGCTTCTCCGCGACGGTCTCCAGCGCCTTGGCCGAGAGGCTCTCGATCTCCTGGAGGGCTTCCGACAGGCAGGCCAGGAGGTGGCGGGCGTCATCCATGGAAAAGCACATGGGGGGCTTGAACTTGAGGACGTTGCTGTACGGCCCTTCCGTGCTAAGCAAGATGAACTTGTCTCTCAAGCTGCGTGAAATAACAACAAAGGCATGAATAACGAAACACAGGAACGTAAGTCAAGGCTCACTTCACTCCTTCAGCACTTCCACACATATTCAGCAACAGCCCTTACTCTCATCATTTCACAGTTCCCAAGGAATCATGGAGTGAAGCAAATCTAGAGAGGGTAATCCAAGTACGCTTTTGTTTATTTTTGTTTTTACCGTGGCATATTTTAAGAGCAGTGAAATGTACCGTTGGGGGAAAAACAACTGAGCAATGGAGCCTATAAATGTACATGACCAAAGGCGAATGACCGGCATGTTGGTCATAACTCACAATTCAACAATGAAGGTTGCCTCGTCAGCAGCCGGCTCCTTGGTGGCTTTGCTACGGACTAATTCAATACCGATGAACATGCCGAGTCCCCTGTAAAAAAACACACACAGAAGACTACTCAGTAAAACCTGAGTGTAAGACAATGCAAATGGTTGGAAGTACTCAACCAAGGCAGAAGAGATTCTCAGGAGTGAATTTTCCCAATTTAAGCTCAACAGCTCACCAGACGGTGGGGGTAGAGTGGCCTACAGATCAGGCCCAGAAAGTCTCGACAGTATAGTCTAGGTAACTTTGGGAAAGATTATCTAAAAATTCTTAGCGCAACTTGGTAATGCACGATCAGAAACCAGGGTCTATATGTGTGACCCGTCACAACAAAATGAGAGTAAAGTCGCACTCCACTCTTTCCTATTTTGAAAGTTCAAAATCATATTGAAGTGGAGGGGGTTTTGAAATATTTGGAAAGAATATCCTGTCTACTATTTAATTCCAAATATTTTGCAGGATCATATGGTAAAAATGTTATTTTCTCAGCAATTTTGACAACAGCATCATTCGTGGCTGGTCTAAAATGTTGAAACAATGCCAGGAACAGAGACGCAAAGCTGTCAGAATAATTGTCACCTTATACTTTTACCCATGTGTTCCATGTACATACCACTGGAAAGCTGTTTTTCTGCTGAACTCAAAAAATACCAATATCTCAACTTCTGAAACTTCCGATTTTCAGCTCATTTTGCGGTGACAGGTCACATAAGTTTACCTGTAACAAAACTCAGTGCTTTATCCCCCTTTGGGCTAGCTCACGGAGGTCTGGTACCACTGACAAGGAAAGTGCAAAGTTAGAACAAGAAAAATTACAATCCCCCGGCTCTCACCTGACATCGCCGACAACTTCATAGCGTTGCTTCATCTGGAGCAGTTCTTTCCTTAGGAAGTCGCCAACGACGGTAGCATTCTCTCGCAGCTTCTCATCCCTAATGATGTCCAGCACAGCCATCCCCACAGCGCAGGACACTGGATTGCCTCCGTACTGCGCAACGGAACAGCAGAAATTCACACTGCTCCATATGCACTCTTACGGCATTTCTCTTCAAAACGCGACTTGAAAATCTTTCATGGAACTTATGAATCTTCCTAACCAGGGGCTACTGTACAGGCATATGATGTTCTAAGAACAAATTGGGCGGACAGCTAACACAGATCCAAGGATGACTACCAGTCAACTTTTTGGAAGTAATAAAATCAGCTTTAAAAACTTTCAAGAAAAAAATTTACATATGTGACGGCTTTAGTGTCAACAGGAAATGGCAGTAGGTGCCTTACACAGAATTTGCATACACCAGCTGCGACATGTGTGACTTTCTCAACACTTGCGCCAAAAAGTCGGCTTGAATCGGGGGAAAAACTTACAGTCTACAGATTCAGCTTCGAAGGCTCGATACTTGAGGTTTTCTGGGGAGGGGCAACTTACGGTATTGAAATACTGGTATCCTCCCCGGCCCATGCTGGCCGCAATCTCTGGTGTGGTTACCACTGCAGCAATGGGGTGGCCGTTGCCCATGGGTTTGCCCATCGTCACAATGTCAGGAATGATGTCTGTAAGGAAACAGCGATACTGCAGATGAGAAGATCCGTGGGGAGATGAAGGAGCCGAAATGCAGAGCTGAAGGGAAGGGTACACCGATGCTTGATGACTGTTGAAGGGTAAAGTCTTAAATCTTCAAATTTCATCACCGTTTTCTCACATCCTCCAGGCTTAGGCCCAGTGTTATTTTAAAGACTCCTTCAACAGTGGAGGACTGATGAAGACAGTGCTGTTGGGGTCATTTTGGGGGTTTCGTGGGTGCTGTCAGCAAAGGTTTCCCGGTTGAGAGGGATGATGTTAGCGTGTCCCTACCTGACCCTTGCGTCTGGAAGCCCCACCACTGTTCGCCGACGCGACCAAAGCCGACTTGGACCTCATCTGCCACACAGATGCCTCCCGCCTCGTGAACGTGCCTGATGAGAAATGGGAGGAGGGAAAGTCAGATTTAACTAGGCGAATGCAGATTAACCCTAACCCTCCTCAATCCTCCAACAGGTGAAGGATTCAGGAGGGTTAGGGTTAACGACTGCAATGTGTTCACAGAGTATCGGAGCGACGGTGAATGGATGGAACAGGCTGCGAGGGGTAGTGATGTGACGGAACACTAAACTTCAAAAGAAAACAACTTTTTGCTGATGATGCACTAAGGTTTGGATGCGATGCAGGGTTCATACAAATTAACAGAACTGTTCCTCACTTGGTCGAAATCAAGCCAATAGAAGTTAAACAGCTAACTGTCTTTTGATATGATTCACTGGGAGATAAAAGAAAGGTACCTGAAGACATTTCTGAAGTAACCTGGAGGATAAACAAGTTGACCGCCGCAACTCTGGAGGGACTCAGCGAAGAAGGCTGCAATCTGAGGTGTAGAAAAGAGGGAAAACATCCTCACATTTTCTTCCGACAACAAAAACCAAAAGAGAGAGAGGAAGAGAAAAGAGGCCAAAGACAAATCCAACAGAAGGGTACAAGAGAACAGGGCAGCTCCAAGACTGAAGAAGTTGTACGGTCCACAAATCCACACTAAACATTCCCCGCTGGTCCACAAATCCACACTCAACATCCCGCTGGTCCACACATCCATGGATGTCTGTTGGGAGGGAGATATCTGTGGAAAAGGGAACAGGGTATGCGCGTCCAAAAGCCACATGGAGTCCCAGGGTCAACCTTCGCTTCTAACTTTTCTGAGGCTGGGGGCCACAGAGCTATATCTAACGACGACAGCACCGACTCCTCACTTCGATACATAAAGATACAGCAATACCGTCCCAGGTGCACAAATTTCACGCGATATGCATGTCTGTATAACGTGGAAGTAAGACGAGAGGGACTATTGAATAGTCTACCCCAAACGGAACAAACAACTCAAGCAAATGCTGCGCGATAGAAGTCGCCGCCAGCAGCGAATGCATGCATGTACGTTGTCTGTACGGTGCAACATGACACTGCTCCACCGCTACTGCGCAATCTGTTTTTGCCGTGCCCGCTTCGTAACGAACCGGTATGGAAGACAAACGCAAAATTTATGAACAAACATCATGACAGCAAAGTTAGAGCTGATACTGGTTTGTCAACAGACACTGCTGTGTGCTGTTAGGTTCCATTGAGGAATAAGTGCTGCGGTGATTTTGATATAGCCCTATGTTGGGTATAGAGGCAATTGCCACTGCAGCCCTAACTGGTTGTCACTCTGTACCTTGGTTAACACTCGGCTTGTCTCCATCACAGCCGTCGGTCGACTCGATAGGTCAATGTCTTCCAGAACAAAAACGACTGACCTGATGGAGAATCTGCAATATGACCTGGGGAACCTGTGATACAAACTCAGGGGACACACAGGAAGGCCCAAAGCACCCCAAAATCCACGGTCAGCAAGAGCCGACGGTCTGAAATTCCTACCTGCGATCCTAAGAATATAACCAAATGCCTACCTACACACAACATGAGAGACTGCCCAACCACGAATCGGGGCCCAGAAGTGTCCAAGCGTGAGGCAGTTTCGCCCCATTTTAAACTCTTAGTCATTTTCTCCACTTTTCACGAAATTGCTCTCTCCATTTCTTTTGGACTCAGCTTGGGCTGTTTAGCTGGAAGGCAGCGATTCGGAGAGGGGCAGTCCCTGTGAAAACAAACAGTCACAGAGTAGTACCTGGTGGCCCATACACACTGAATATAATAACATGGAGAGTGCCAAAACGTCGCCATTCTTGTTTGAAAGCTGCTCCCAACCTTTTTACTGGAATTTACACACAAAATGTAGAATATCAACCTGAAAAGAGAGAGATTACAGAAAGGAGGACAGAGGTCAGTGATGCATTTTGTGTAGGTGGGTGAAAATGGGTGCATAATCTTCCAGGTGGATTTGAAGGGATCTCGGGAAATGGGGTTGGGAAAAAAAAAACAAAAACAAACGAAACATGACATAAACCACCCCCAAGTATGGTGGGGAGTATTTAGATACATGTATTCAAACAATGGCCATGTCCAAAACGGACTCCCAGAGCTACTGCTCTGTCAAATGGCAGCGCGTCCCTGTGAATTTCCAATGAAGCAAAGACCTAGACCTAGACAATAGATTCGGATGCAGCCTATGTTAAAAACAAAGGTGCATGCAGATAACTGATGATTTTATGCTTCGGTAAAAGTGAAGTTTGAGAGCAAGTAACAGGTACTTCGAGACATAAAGTGGTGTCCATTCTGAACAGTCCGTAGCTGGCTAAAGGCTCTATTAGTTCCGTTGCTTCAATGCTCGTTAGAAGGGGAAAAAAATGACCAAAGTGACGTCCACTTTCTGCCAAGTCTACTTGGAAGGTCTCCCCCTGTCATGCATCAAGATAACAAGGCCAGTCTGACCGCTCAACGAACGCACCTGTCTGCCACCAGCGTGTGCTTTATCGATGGCGTCTTTCACGTCATTGGCAAACGCCTCCCCCGGATTCTCTGCCTTGCAGTGTTGCCCTCGGTACATATCTGGGGGTGACACCTGAAATGAAATTGAAAAGAAACCGTTAGTACAAAACATACTTCGAAATAAATAAACTACAGACTTGTTCAAAAGATGTCAACAGCAAAGTCACTAGATGTACAAAATGAGTGTGTTTGGGAACAAGCATATGAGCCACATAACGCTTGACCAGATAAACATGCTCAACACCTTGGTTACAAAAAAAAAGACAAAAACTACCCAAAGTCAACATCTCCCACAGCTAGGAATGTGATTTTGAGGAACCATAAACAGTATATGACCTCAGCCTGGGGCACAAAAACATTTCTTTCTTCCTTCCTGGGTTCTGCAGTTCTTTACATAACTTGACATAACTATGATTAATTATCACCGATACTCAAAAAGATACTAACAAATCTTCTCCTCAACCAAATACCCACTGGGAAAGATTTCAAGTTCACTGCAGAACATGCAGCCGAATAGAATCTGCCAACTGGTTCCCACTTTGCCCTTCCAAGGCAACCTCTTGGTGGCAAACTGCACGGTGAACTGCCCATATTCTCCGCACTAATGCGATGATCTGAGGTGTAGCAAAGCCTCTTGGGTGTACAGGGGTCAACACGTAGGGAATGAGCTACACAGGCGTTTGACTGGTCTTAAGGACAAGTGAGCACTCACCACGTGAACCCATTTCTTCTTGATGTCTTTGCCGAGTAGCTTGTGCTTGTAGGGGCTGATGGCAAGTACAGTCTGCAGATGGCCATGGTAAGCGCTGGAAAAAGACAACAAGAATAGTTCTTACTACTGAGAAAATTCCAGTTTTTGTCCCATTCACAAATGTTCATAGATCCATTAAAATTTTTAAAAACCTGACAACCACCACTACATCTTAATTCAAATATTTACACTTTGGGAAAATCAAAACGAAAGGACAGTAAAGCGTCACACTCTCCACTTGATCTTGTCACCACACTGTACAATGCATTCAATACGAAAGTATGTCAAGCACATGGCAATGTTGGGAGTCCATTGAAAACATTGCCTACAGCAGTACTAGGAATTCAAAATATTCCCCGTGAAATTGTGTAGTCAGGACAAAGAACGACACTTGTACATGGGTCATTCCGTGAGGTTGGGGCACAATTTGTGACAGTGTCCTTGTTACATGGGTAACTTTAACAACCTGTCATGACCTGTAGAGTAGGTCATGTGAAAATCTCTGAATTCAGCCTTGCAAGACAAATAACAATGTCAATTTGGATCCACCTGCAGGGAAATAGCGGTTCATTTTTAAGGAACCCACGAACCAATGGACACCGTCACAAATTGTGCCCCAACCTCATGGAATGACCCACATGGAATGTACTAGGACATACATGTACATGTACACCGCACCATGGGCTCATTTGGAAACAATCGGCATATTTGATACTATTTCGACACCTTCTGAGTTGAAGACCTTTAAAGTTATCCGAGTCAACGTACTGTACATGTACATGTACCGTAGATCAATAGAAACCCCATAACACTTTTTCACCGACATGATGCCAATTTTCATCAGGACACTTAACACAGTGTTATGTCAAAACAAAGAACTGTTTGCTCATTCTGACCTAACGCGACTAGGACTGCATTACTAATAGAAAGAAACTGGCCCTGGGATTCATTTTGTGGGATCTATTCACATTTTGCCTAAATGTTACTCTGCAAAAGCATAACTTGAATGTAGAGCGCGAAATTAGACCAAAAAAGTGCTCCGCCAAAATGTCACAACACGGTCAATTTTATTCTGCCATACCAGGTTTCGATCTGCCCTATTATATACAAGGTAGAGTTGTAAAAAGCAGTGTCAGGGGTCGAAATTCACTTTGTTTTTCCTGGTCCTACCAGAACCGCACACGCAGCCGCATTGGGCAATCCTTGTTTGGGCGCAGGCCGGGAGTATTTTTGGAACGTGTGGTGAAATGTCTCCTAAAGGATAAACAACCCACTTGCCAACTTATTCAATAAATACTCATCCGTGTGCATGTACCACTTGTGCAAACTACAGTCGACCAGATAAGAGCGATGTTCATATAAGGTCCTACTTATAACAAGGGCAATTTTTGGTTCCAAGTCTTTCTTTTTCTTGGTTTTCCATTACTGATAATACAAAGTACATGTAACTACTCCAACAAAAAGGTAATTTGTGTAAGTCCCGTGGACTTGGTAACAATGTTCCACTACATTATGAAGAATATCCTTTTAAAAACAGGAACGTTGATTAACAGCAAAAGCTGTAGAGAAGTCAAATGACAAAGCAAGAATTTACTGTCTCGTCGCAAGTGCGCTCTTTCATGCAAACAATGCAATAACCCTTTTAACTCACGCCGGGAGACGGCTATGGCCACGGCTTAATTAAGGGGAGGAATAGTGCACACCACACATACATGCACCCGCGGTTTCAATGTGGGCCTGCTGCAGGCTAGGGCTCTGCATTCTGTGCAGACCGCAGTCACAGTGAAAAAAAATCCTGGCGTTAAGGCTAATCAACTACAGGGAACATGTCAATTGGGAAGGCAATAAATGCACAAAATGCGAAAGAACAACCTCCATAAAAGATTCCACATTTTGCTGGTTGGATTTGAAGCATTGCAACTACTGGAATGGGAGCCGTAAATTTGAATTTATTTTTTTAATGCAGAGGTCAAAACTCCACACTTGGAATGGTAGCAAGTTTGCCAGTTTACCATCAGGGCCCAATTTCATTGTGCTGCTTACCGCAGCATTCCGCGTACGATCTCCATTCTGCGCTAACCGCGCAGGCGGAAAAATTCTACGATAGGCCTTTAAGCGCAGAATCCTTAGTTACGGGATGTACGCATGCGCACAAGCAAAAATTCCTCGCTAACCCGCGAAATACGTTTGGCGCAAGTGCAGAACTTTCTGCTTCAGTAAGTGCAGATTTTTCGCTTGGGGGTAAGCAACGCTGTGAAATTGGTCCTTAATCAAATCAAGGCTGCCTGTGGTCAGATGGACCATTTTTTTACATACTAATTGTTGGATAAAGAGCTAAATGCATTAAATATGCACTAATGGATGAACACTGTCATGGCTATCTGTAACATTTATCACAGGCACTGGTCCTACTAACAGTAATCAAATGGAACAGATCAGCCCCATCTGTGAGTTCATCAGCAAAACTATGGAGGAAGGAAGACATGTACATGTAACCCCTACATGAGCTGGATATTGTCGGCACTGAGTCACATGCACCTGACATTTACCACACAACCAACACAGTGAAGCACAACATCACTGGATATGCTACTTAAAAACCACACTGAAAAATAAAAACCCAAAGGGTACTTACTGGTCGAGGGTAATGACGTCTTTGTGTCCAGTGTACTTCTGTGCTAGCTGGATGGCCAAGTCGTTGGCTTCTGAGCTATGAGAGAAACAAAAGAAGACCACGAACTATTCAGAAACCTTAAGTGAGCAGTCCGACCTCTTGTTGAAAGAAAAAACACGGCTTTATCAACACAGCAGAGCTTGGTTCAAGCCTTTCATTTGTGGCTGAACTGCTGATGAAAAACTTGAGGAATCACACGGGTAGAGAGTCACGTTATGCCATGCAGTCCTTCCACTCATTCATTTCATGCCAATCAATCACTACGTCTCGCCAAAAAAAAACTGGCCATTCTGATCTTAACATGTTCGAGGTTTTATGAATTTCATTCATAAAGACACACCGTCACCGGACAGAAATACCAAATGGGAATAGCTTCCTCTGGAGAAACAATAAGGACTTGAAAGAGCTTTTGCAAATACAGCCCTCAAATAGCCGGGAAAAAAAGGAGACTGCAATGGTTGCAACGACGACCAATGAACAGGCTTTGAAATACAACAATCCAAACAAATCTGGAAATTCCACAAACTGGCTTGATTCTCCTAATCCGACTTGCCATGGTACTTTCACCTCTCTCACTAGTTAAAAGCTGGCTTTTGTTAATGCACCTCTACAGTTTGCGTTGATGCAAAATAGTCCAAGGCATCACAGTAAAGTAAAACTTATCAATTCTGAAAAAGCAAATCACCAGTGTAACAAAAAAGCCAGAGAACAGCACACCTATCAACCCTAACATGGCACAAAATACAGTCGACTATCGAGCACGACAATCTGCCAAACATACAATGAAAGATACAGTGTAAGAACTATTCCCAACTGGCCGACTAGTCGGCGGCCTCAACTTCTGTAATGACCTTTAATCCCCACGGAAAACTAACAACCCCTTTCTCAGCCACCCCTGCCAGCACCTGTTGACGCCATGCTAAGACCCGCAGATATGATACATGTGCACACTTTCAGCTGGAGTCCAACTGCACGTACACATGTACGTTTGACACAAACAACTTGAGCTGAACAGTCTTGTCTTCATTGCAGAACTGCACTGCGAGGTGACTCTCTGTTCTCGTCTCACAGGAAACCAACCAAAAGTGGCGGAGTATACATCAAAGTAAAAGCATGTAAACCGAAGGCAATTCACCAAACATCTTAAAACAACTCTGTACATCAATAGTCCAGCTTCCAGCAAATGGTGTGCCATTGCAGGGAATTTGTAAGGAGAGTTTTGGGGGCTTGAAACTGCCTCGAGTACTGTACTCTGATAATGTGTTTTATATTTCAATATTTACATGCTGTCCTGCCTCTCTCTGTTGTCATGTTGTGACTGCACCTACCCAGAATTCACCAGGAAGCATACGGATAACTTCTCGGGCATTGTGCTGGTCAGCCGCTCGGCGTACTGGACCAGGGTGTCGTGGAGAAAACGGTTATTGGTGTTGACGATGGCCATCTGCTTGGCAGCTGCCTCGACAACCCGCGGGTGGCTGTGACCAACTGTGAAGCAGCAGAGGAAAAGAATGACAAGGAAGACAAATGTATAAACCGTTTGGTAATCACAACTGAAAATGAGTAACACATCAGGTGCACATCAGGTGCCGGGGTCAACCAAATCCTACACACACATGTAATGTACAGTATGCTGCAGAGTAGTGTGTGTGTAACAAATGGCAAGCAATCACATCTGTACCTCTGCTTGATGACCCTGTGGCAATGAGCATGCATGTTCTAGGATTTTTATCGGACAAAAGCCATGCTACTCCAGCTGTTACTAAATTCTACACACTTTGCATTCTGAATGTTGGACACGGCTGTACACAGCGCGAGGGAAATTTGCATACAGGAGGCTTATGATGTGTATTCATTGATCGGGGAATATGATCAAAAATGGGGTCGTTTTGAATAGTCTCTGCTAGACTCATACCCCCCCCCAAAAAAATTCAGGTTTACAGGTAGTCCCCTACACGCAGCCTCCTCTGTTGCTGGCAGAGGAAAGGCATGAATGGGGGAGGGAACAAGCCCATGCGAAACCCAATCATTCACCACACAGAAATCAGCACCGTATGACCCTCACCGTGACAGACATTGTTGATACAGTCCAGGTACGCATTTCCTTCCTCGTCGTACATGTACTGACCCTTGGCCCGTACTATCTTGAGGGGGCGAGTCGGGTACCATAACCTGCAGGCCTCCCTGTCAAGAATGAGGAGAGACAAGGGTAATTTCATGGGCTGACATCCTGGAAGGGATTGTCAAGATGTACCCTGTTCTATCACACCCTGGTGGTGAGTTAGGACCGAAACTCTGGTGCCGTTTCCTCACTGAAGCATCCCTCTATCAGAGATTTTCTTTTTTGAAATTTGGCCTTTAATAAAGATCAGGTAAAGCCTTAGTACGTGTTACCATGGTAACAGACTGACACCTTTCCAACCTCCCTTTTTAGATATGCTAAAAGCAAACTTTGTTGAGTTGGCAAATAAGAAGACATCATACATGAAATACACGTTGCAAAGAAAGGGCCTTGCTGTTAATGTTGGTTGTTCTCCAACATCACTGCAGCCTTCACAACAGTGGCCCACCGTGATCATTTTCGGTGAAAAACAAAAACCTGAAAACCAGGATGGCACAATACAGTGTATTTGCAGAGAAGTGCTCAGATCACACGGATAAAGGGGTCTGGAATAAAAGACAACGTAAAGGAAGGAAGAGTGTGAGACAGTGACTGGCGTTCCCAACAGGGCCTGCCTGCACCTTCCCTGTGGAGTCAACCTGACTTCATTGTATTCAGATTATCCTCGAAAGGTCAAACATCATGAACAATAGTACCTGGGGGTCCGCCTATACACACACTGAAAAGAATCCTGAATTGTGATGCGAACCCATTGTACAGACAGGGTTTATGGTGTCTAAAATTTACAACCTCAATCAACTTTTTCTGTTGTGTGGATGTGTGCCTACTATGAATAACATACATATTAATATGTAATCCAAACAAAGCTAAGAGTAAAACTTTGTTTCAAAGGTGGTAACTTAATAGGGTCATCCTTTGTTTTACTATGCTACCTACAATATGTTGTCTTTGAACTGAACAGTGAAGCTAGGCTGTGTATCTTTTACCGTATTATCTCTGTGTCGGCTGTAGATATTAATAAATTCCCACTTGTCTTATTTTCTTGGGGGGGGGGGGTTGGCGTCATGTGGTAGGATGGCTCTGTAGAGGTGCTGGTCACCTGTTCCATCTTGCCAGTCACTGGCTTTTTAGCATGTTGTTTTTTATACCCATCATCTGATTGTTGTGCCATGTCAAATGTTTTATGCATGTTTTTAATGTATTAATTTGGTTCTTTTTTTGTCTTGTTTCACAATAGCCAATGGAAAAGTGAAATAAAAGAGCATGCATTCCTATGTTGGATGATACTGCATAATTCATCACCATCTTCACAAACCAACAACACAAGTGCTGTCTAGGTGCACTTCGTGCAAACCATGCAATGAATTATTTGGGTTTCATGAGTTGACACAAAGGTGTGCAGGTGCACTTGGCACACTGACATGTAATTCAAAAGAAATTGTTTTCAGAGAACCACTCCGCAAACATCTTGTGGATATTTACAATTAACAGAAAAATGTTTTCAAAGGATCGACTTAAATCCACTCCATCTGTATACATGTAATAGTGTAATATACATGTAATGGCAATTTTCACTAAAAACCTTTCTAACTTGCAAAACTAGGAAAAGGTTTAGTTTTTGCAACAAAAATGTAGATGTCTGTGTGTCAGTTATGACAAAGAAATATCAATTGGCCATGCGATTCATAAAGTACTTTGTGTCTGTTCATGATGCCCATAGCAAGATTGTATGCACTGTACATGTGCATGCAATAAACAGGGCCTGTATTGTATTTAATGGTCTGACGACTGATGCAATAACAGATATGAACCAGTTGGCACTACAAACCCCGCAAGGCCACATTCTATTGACACACTGATGTAAATGCATGATGTACATACATTTCTACAGCCATCCCCTGATTACCTGAACTTTCACACTGCTCTACGGTTAGGATAGCCTGAAGTTGCATGTATATGTACATGTACAATCAATGATAGGCTGGAGTTGCATGTATATGTACGTGTACAATCAATGGTTTGGCCTATGGATACAATATCACAGACTCTGAAGGAAATGCCAGGCTACACCCCTTTCGATAGCATGCAATGTTTGTATTCAAGTTATTTTTAGAAAGGCCAGATACTGCACGGCAAACAACTGCCTCGCTCTGCAAATAATGCTGTTTAGTTTCATTTTGTAACCTTCATGCTTTTAACCGCCACTACCTAACCAAAGGGCTTTACAATAACATCCCTGAAATGAATCAATATTATGTTTTGTACCAGCAACAAACGGAACTGTTTCATCATGAATGTATGCCTGTAAAGAGCTAAATAGAAATACCAAACTACAGGGCAGTATAACCATATGCTGCCGGGGAGCCCAGTTTCGGGCACATAGGCTTTATACATGAAACCAGGGAGCCTGAAACCAGACAAACGAGCTAGGCCTTGTAACAAAAGACCATACTCGAAACAAAAGTCCGAGCTGCTGGGAATTGCTAACAATTTTTTCAGTTGTCAATAGAGGAGGAAATCTGTTGTTGTTTTGAAAAATTATACCACTGTTTGTGACATTCAGCGTGAGCGGATTACCACTGGAGACAAAAGCGCTCCACTGATGAGTGATACAATACAGCTGCACGCTAATCTGGCCCCTATTGAAAAGACGCCAGCCGCGCACTGTGCCAGTTTCAGGAACAAAAGAAAATTACATAACAGCACTCAATCTGGGCTCATTTTACAAGGCGGCAGGCCTGGCTGAAATACTCAGGCATTAACAGATTGTGTCTGTTAGATTATAGTAGAAGAGATAAACATAATCACCGCGGTGGATGACAAATACAGAAAAAAGATAATCGATGACTCGCGGTGTCGTGTTGCACGAGTTCCGCGAGTCATCGATTATCTTTTTTCTGTAGATTAGAGTAGCCACCAGACAGTCCTTTGTGTGGGTGTAAACGTCCAGTAAATGAAGTTATGATTTTTTAAACAATTTTGAAAATGGAAAATCTTGGTTAATATTTATAAGCCAGACANGGTAGATTTCGAAAATTGCAAAACTGTAGCATGTCTCAACAAAGTAGATTGCATAATTGTTGTTCGACAATGGACAATCCTTTGTGACATGAATTTCAAAACTTTTGTTTTGGGGCATTATGCTCAACACCACACGCTGCTCTTGGAGTAATACAATACTTGAGTTTTTCACATTCTTTCTTCGATAGTCATAAGAGCATGAAAAGTGACATTTTACAAACACGAATCAAAGGAACTTACAACAAACTGTTCATATTTCTTAACCAAGTGGGCCTTCATATACCATCTGTTTTTTCCCACAAACACATTAAAAACCTAGACCATCTTGTGCATGTTTCAGCTTTTTATGCGTGCCAACTACATGTACATCATTTTCCAATATGCCGAACTCTATCAGAAATTGCAGGTTTTACTGGAGTCAGGATAATAGGTCAAAGAAGCGACAGCAAGATATTATAAGATATTGATCTTGTTCAGTTATCCTCAACTACTTTACCAGGGAAATTTGATAGAAAGACCACAAGTAACAAAAGGAATCAACATTTATAAAGCACTTCCTCAAATCCAATATTTCTTTTTATAACCACAAGGCTTATGAAATTTACAGTCTTTTCTGTTCTATCTTAGCAACAATGCATATAATGCCTACTTACCCAATGTGTTTCTTGCGCAGTTCAAGAGTCCTTTCCTTAGGTAGAACTTCCATTTTGAGTGAGGTGTGTAAGATGCTGCACCGGTAAAAAGAGAATCGAAGTCTGGAAGTTAGCTTTTCAGAAATAAACGTGTCATCTGTCCGCAGATGCACTGGAGCAAGTTTTGAGGAAAGAGTTCCATAAACTTACATCACTTGACACTCAGAACACAAACCCTATGTTTCTGGTCTGAAAACTGAAGTTAGTAAGTGGGCCTAATTCTTAAGTAAACACAGTAATATGTTTCCTGCTACATTTGACATTTTAGGACAATTTATCAGAGGGACAAGTTAGCACCTTCTGATACGTCACTTCAGCCAACAGAGAGAAAATAGCAGTCAGCTCTGAGGCTACCTGCACAACTAACGTCCATAGTCACCAGGTCCCCAATTGTGCCACCTACGGTCAAGTCTGGTTGGTTTTCACAGTAAGTGGCAAAATAAGGGACATGGTGACTATACGGTCAGGGACGTTAGTTTGGATATTCACATGAAAAGCATTAGCATCGCATGAACATGATAAAGTTTGATTTAAAAAGAAAGTCAATTATTAGTAAGAGCTTGTTGGCCTAACCAATCTTTGACTCCTATTTTGTGGGTGGACACTTCTGGGAAAAAGGGAAAAAAATGCATTTATACATGTCTAGAATGATGAAACACACTGACTTTCATCTAATTATGATGAATACCTAGGCTTATAGCATCTATGAGCTATCTCCTTCCAGAATTGTGAGGCACTCTCCGTGTCCCATACAGTTCCAAATTTTCATTGGTTTGTAACGCTCTGGGATTCTGAATATGCCCGTTTATTCTGCCTTAAAACTGCATTTTTTCAGTCAAATCTTCCCCCCCAAACGCTGTCCACACTAAGTAATATCTCATTAACCCTAACCCACTTCAATCTTCCAAAACCCTCCAGGTGGTTTGGGAGGATTCAGAATGAATGATTGAAGCATGGACGACGGCGGATGAATAGTGTTTTAAAGGCTGGAGGATTTTAGAGGATTGAGGATGAATGATGTACATGTACAGTGGAATGTCGCTATACTGAACATCGCTATACCGAACATTCGGCTGTACCGAACATCGTCCTTGGCTCCCAATATTTTTTGCACAAAACCTACCGAACATTATGTACATGTAGTTGCAAATCAACTGAGATTCGCCACAGCATGCCTCAGAGATCGATCCTAAGCAGCAGCTTCACGACTTTTAGGATAAACTAAACACCAGTTTTGTAACTCTAAATTTAA